TGTGTGTGTGTGTGTGTGTGTGTGTGTGTACACGGTATATTCACATATCAACATGACTCTTCGTTTCCTCTCTGTCTCACAGCCTTCTCCTGTCCGGCTGGAAAGTTTTTAGAGATGTCCACGCAGCAGTGCACGTCGTGTGCAGCCGGCTCCTACTCTCTGGGCAGCGGCCTCCGTTTTGACCAGTGGGACGCCATCCCTGCAGGCTTCACCAGCCTGGCCAGCTTCCTGGACCCGGGGCCAAATGGCGAGGACATACAGGCTTGTAACAGGTGACGCAGACATGAACTACTCCCACAGTAACATGGAGGTGAACGTAGATGTATCACAGCCCTTGTTCTTGTACTGATGTTTTGCTCTGTTGTCTCTGCAGCTCATCGTGGACGCCGCAGGGTGTGTACCTGGAGTCGAACCGCGACGAGTGCACCGTGTCTCTGGTTTACGCCGTCCATCTGGAGAAACAGGGTTCTGTCTCCTTCACCTACCAGTACCCCGACAACAACATCTTCTTTGAGTTCTATGTACGCACCTGTGACGGCATCCTACAACATCACAGCTCATTCTACGTTTCCGCTCCTTGTCCTGAATTAACAGACTTTAAATCTTTAAATATTCATGAGTTAATGAATAATAACTGTATTACTAATAACGTTCAGGTCCAGAATGAACAGTGTCAGGAGATGGCCCAGACTGACGACCAGAAGTGGATTAAAGTCACCAGCAATGGAGAGTGGAACACACACACGGTGAGGACGTGATTCTGCTTTTGTGTGAGTGTGTGTCTGTGTGTGTACAGTTTCATGGGTTGTGTGTTTCTCACTGTGTGTATCTGTGTGTTTTAGGTGAGTCTCAAGTCCGGCACCAACATCTTGTACTGGAGAACCACCGGCATCCTGGTGGGAGGGAAGATGGTCAAACCAGTGCTGCTCAAGAACATTCAAATAGAAGGTAAATATTAAAAAGAAGCTCGAAAATCTAGATATTAACACGTGAAGTTGTGTGTTCGTGTTCTGCACATATCACACTTACTGTACGTCACGCGTGTTCAGGTGTAGCCTACACGTCCGAGTGTTTTCCGTGTCGACCCGGCTGGTTCAGCTCATCCCCCGGCTCCTCGTCCTGTCAGCCGTGTCCCAGCAACACTTACTCCGTGAAGGGGGCGTCGTCCTGTGCACCCTGCCCCGAACATCACTACTCACGTATGTTTACACACGCACACGCATGTGTACGCGTGAAATTATCAAATGGAAAATGGATTTAACAGATGTCACATGTTTTACTTTGCATCCTCTTCTGTAAAGTAAAAAAGAATAATCCATCTTCTCGTTCTGCGTGTTTTCTCTGCTTCTGATCGTTTGCATTTCATCGTCCTCTGTGTCCGACTCTTCTCTCAGATGAGGGATGGGCAGAATGTAAAGTGAGGCCACCGTGCTCAGAGGAGGATTATTTCCAGATCCACACAGCCTGCGACAGCGACGGGAAGGTCAGCGGCGCCCACGTCACACACACACACACACTCTTAAAGTCTAAATTAAAGGCAAACGTAGTGTTTGATTCGTCAAGTTGACAAACATGAGTCGACAGTTTTGATATAAATAAAGCAAAAATAATCAGATTGAAACGGCACAGTTTGGAATAATGGAGAATTTTGATTAAATACAACCCTTGATTGTTTTATATGTCATTTTTGAATTAACAGTTTGAATTTCTAGGTTAGACCGTATTGACAGAAATAAACTTTTGACCTATGATGACATTAGATTTAAATGGACTGATCAGTGAAGACTCTCTCTCGGTGTATTGTACCAGAAACAAGAGACGTCTCACATTATGATGAGAGAGGAGACGGTGAAAAGCTGAGCAAACACTTTGAATGTCACCTGATCCAAAATCAAATTGGCTCCTGTCCTCGACCTTGGAGCGTTTGGATTCACATTTGTGAACGAGCTGATCTAGAGCGACGATTATTCAAGAACAGAAAAGAAGCAGATCTTGTTACTGTTGATGGTTTCGTTTGGTTTTATGCAATTTATGATTTTACTTCTGGCTCATTGTCCTCATTTTGACCCAAGTGAGAATCCGTCCACTCCTGGTGATATTCTGCTCTGTGGCTTTGTGGGTTGCAGACGCAGGTGTTGTATCGCTGGGTGGAGCCAAAGATTTGCGTGGAGAACGTCACTGGAGCTGTGGAGCTTCCTGCGATAGGACAAAGAGAGCCCTGCCCGCCCTGCAACCCTGGCTACTACAACAGCAACGACTCCACCTGTCTGCCCTGCCCACGTGGAACCCACTCTGACGGCACCTACGGTAACTCACGTCTACTCACCGATCGTTGCATCACTACAAAGAATCTGTTCTACGATATAAACATATTTTATTGTCTTTGAACGTCTGTATTCAAAGTCCTGGTTGAATTTTCAACTCATGAAAAGATGGTT